TAGCCTTCACTACCTTCCCAAGCTGTCCATCCTAGATTCCCACCACCCGCTGAGTGAAAACGTTTTTTTCCAAATCCCCTCAGAATCTCCTGCCCCTTACCCTAAATCTATGCCCTCTCAAGATTGACCCTTCAACCAACGGGATCAACTGCTCTCTATTCACCGTGTCCATACATCTCATAATCCTATACACCTTATTCAAGTCTCCCCTCAGTTTTCTCTGCTCTAAAGAAAACAATCCAAGCCTATCTAGTCTCTCCGTATAGCTCAGATGCTCCATCTCAGGTAACATCCCAGTGAACATCCTCTGTACCTCTCCTAGGGCTATCATATCCTTCCTGTAGCGAGGTGACCAGAACTGTACACAGTATTCCAGCTGTGGCCTGACCAACACTCTGTATAACTCCAAGATTACTTCCTTGCCCTCAAACTCTGCGTCACGACTGATGAAAACAAGTGTCCCATAATTATCCTACTCACATGCTCTACCAACTTCAGGGATCTGTGGATCTCTCTTTTCCTCTAAGCTACCCAGTGTAATGGCATTCATTAAATACTCCCTCATCTTGTTTCTTGTTCCGAAGTGCATGATCTCGCACTTACCAGGGTTAAACACCATCTGCCTCCGCAACACCACTAATTATTGATCTCCATTTCAAAAAGCACACTTCTCCCACTACTCTCTTTCTTCTATGGTCAAGCCAGTTTTGTATCTATCTAGATAGCTCACCCTGGATCCCATGAGACTCTACCTTTTGTACCAGCCTGCCATGAGATACCTTATCAAATGCCTTATAAAGTGCATGTAGACAACATCCACTGCCCTCCTCTCATTAATCATTTGCGTCGCCTCTTCAAAAAGCTTAATCAAGTTGATGAGACATGACCTTCCCCACACAAATCCATGCTCACTAACAAGTCCATTTGTATCCTGATTTCTCTTCAGATTGTATAAATCTTTTGCTCTTTAAATACTTCCAAATGTGAATAAATCCTATCTCTCAGTGTCTTCTCTGACAGCTTCCCCACCATTGACACCAGGCTCACTGGCCTGTAATTACCTGGATTATCACTGTTTCCCTTCTTAAACAAAGGAACAACAGTGGCCATTCTTTAGTCCTCTAGAACCTTTCCTGATGCCAAAGAGGATGCAAAGATATCTATTAAGGCCCAAACTACTTTCTCCCTTGCCTCCAGCAGTATTCTGGGATAGATCCCGTCTGGTCCTCAGAACTTGTCTACTTAATGTATTTCAAGACACCCAACACTTTCTCCTTCATTATGTTGACCTGCCCAAGAGTATTCACACACCTTTCCCTAACCACAACATCTCTCACATCTCTTTCTTTGGCATATACCAATGTAAAGTACTGATGAAGGTTCACACCCATTTCCTCTGGCACCACCCATAAACTCCATCCTTAATCCTTGAGTGGGGCTACTCTTTCCCTAGCTATCCTCTTGCTTCTAATATATGTATAAAATGCCTTGGATTCTCCTTAGCCCTGCATGGTCCCTTTTAGCCCTTCTAACTACCCATTTGAGCTCCTTCCTACTTTCTCTATATCATTCAAAGATTTTGTCTGTTTTTAGTTGCCTAGACCTTAGGTATGCTTCCTTTTTTTGACTAAGCTGATAATCTCCCCTGTCATCCAAGGTTTACAAATTCTGCCATTTCTATCCTTCATTTTCACAGGAACATGCCTGTCCTGCACTCTAATCAACTAGTCTCAAAAACCTGTGGATTTACACTCAAACAGCCACTCCCAAGTCATATTCTTCAATTCTTGCCTAATTCAGTTATAGTTGGCCTTCCCCGAAATTAACACCTTCATCCAACGTCCACTCGTATCCTTATCCATAAGTACCGAAAAACCTACAGAATTATGGTCACTGTTTCCAAAATGCACCCCAGTGAAACTTTGATCATCTGGCCAGGCTCATTTCCCAATACCAGATCCAGTACGGCGCCCTCCCTCATTGGATTATCCGCACACTGTTTCAAAAAACCTTCCTGGATACACCTAACAAACTGCTCCCCATCCGAACCCTGGCACTAAGGGAATCCCAGTCGATATGAGGGAAGCTAAAATCACCCATCCTAACAACACCATTATTTCACATCTTTCTAAAATATCTTTATATCTACATATCTCTTCCTCTATCTCCTGCTGGCAGCTGGGAGATCTATAGCACAATCCCAATATTATGATTGCATCCTTCCTATTCTTGAGCTCTACCCATACTGTCTCGATGCAAGATCCCTCTTAAGTGTCCTCCTTCAACACAGCTGTGATACACTCCCTAAACAGTAATGCAACTCCCCCACCTCTTTTGCTTCCTCCTCCGTGTCATCTAAAACATCGATATCGCCGAACAGTAAGCTACGATTCCGGTCCTTCTTTCAACCATGTTGTCTCTGTGATAGTAACAACATCATAATTGCATGCATCAATCCAGGCTCTACGTTCATTTGTTTCCTGACCCTATTAGGAACAATCTTTGTAGCAGGTTTCTATAGAGGATTCCAAGTTGTCAAAACTTAAAAAAATGGCTTAGGCTATTAGAACTACATACCTCTTTGCGTACCAGAAGACCTGGAAAGAAGTCACAAAACTGTTTTAGCAGTGCAAGGAGGTTAAACAAAAACAGTAATTTAAGTGAAAAAAAACTGTAAAGAGTTAAGATAGAAGTGATATTTCTTGGACATTGAGTATCTGTAAAGGATATAGCTGGGAACTAAGTTGAAACTTTGCTTTGCTGTTTATTTTAGGATCTTTATAAACTTTTATATATGTATCATTTTATTCTTTTTATGTAATTTTGTTAAAGAATATTTGCAGCCTTATGTGTATATGTTTATAGACTAACCATCACTGTAACCAACTGCTAATATTAACCTAACGCCTATAAAGGCATGTTTCATTTTGGATCTGACTTCTTTAGTAGCACTATCAGCTGTGATCATAACAAAATGGGAGCTCTTATGAGATGGGAATTCATTCAATTTGAGAGACATGTCTCAGAAACAGGTACATGGAGGTACTGAACATAAAACAGGAAGGTTGCAGTAAAGTCTATTACATGGATGTGACTTTCAAAATGTCTTTGAATGTGCCTAAGGCTTTCTCCTGTGATCAGAAAACATAAGTAATTATTTGGAATCTTTGACCCAGGCTAAGGTAATTGAAGGTGAAAATAAAGTTAGGATCTCATAAGGAAGAGATGCTTATGTAAATTTTGCAGCATTTAAACGTACAAGGAGGAAAATCTGAAATTGAAATGTCACTGTTGGAATTAGCTAAGATTCAGCTAAAAATTAAACAAATATTTGATTTAGAAGAGTAAGCAAAGCATAAGAGAAATGGAAAGGGGAAACACTTAAAAATGTTTGATCATCAAAGACAGAGAGAAATCAGATAACATGATTTGAAGATAGAAATGCTTAAAGTAAAGGGAGAGAAGAGGCTGTAGCTCAGAGCAAGTTTCTGATTTCAATGAGGTATTTAACTAAGATATGCATGTACAGTTTTTTTAAAGAGATACAAATCCCTCTTAAATCAATGAACTCCCCTCCTGCAAGAGTATTTTTGATTGGAAATCTGTATTTCCTGTTTAAGAGAATTGTGTTGCAAGATATTTCACCTCATTTGAGAATGTTGCTGGGAAGATGGCCTGGCCAAAAGATGTTGAGATCAGTTGTTGCAAATTTTGAAAAAACGACATGTCTTTCATAATAAAACGAGAAATACTAAAGCCAGTTGTTGTAAGTTAAATGGAAGACTGATTGCAGTGGTAGAAATGTCTTAAGAAATCCTCAGAAAAGAATGCAACAGAAAATGAAATATATATTAACAGTGTAGCTGTGGCATAAAAGGGACATTCTCCCTTGAAATATTTTAATAAAGGAGAGGTAATATAGGATAGACAATAAAATTCTTCCCTAATTATTGGTACAGACAATCGGATCACCAGAAATTCTGAATATTTTATTTCAAAAGAAGAAGTATACATATATTTCAAATCAAAGGGGTAAACCAACAAAGGTATTTAGAGACACTGCAGCAGGTCAATCAATAATGCCTACTGGTCTTCCAGAAGGAGTACTGAATGGAGAAAATATTAATTGGAGATACATAGTAAAGTTACAAACTATGGAATGACCTGTATGGTTCAAAAGTATTAGCCTCACTGAGGATGGTAGGACAAGCAGGAGAGATTATAAAGAAAAACTTTGATGCTAATGGATGAACATTCTGTTTTCTAACTGTGTTGTGACTAGATTCAAATGGACAGGAAGAGGGGGAATGTATGAAAAAGGGAGATGACTTAATATTTGATTATTTGACATGGTTTTGTTGAAAATTTAGATAAAAAGGATAAAGAGAATGAGACTGATAAGTAGAGCCTACCTTCTTTAATGTAAGTGCAACAAACAGATCTTGAATTGAGAAAATTATATCAAATGACCTACTCAGAAATTCAGTCAGAACCAATACCTGAGCATTATTACTTCAAAGTGCTAACAAGGAAATGGTGACCACCTCAAAGACCTGTTGAATGAGGAAAGTACAGTAAACTGTACATCAGAGTATGAGGCAAGGTCAATCTTGGCTTTCAAAATGGAACTGACTATTTAACCAAGGGAAACATAACTCAAGACTTTGGGAAAAAGGCAGAGGAGTGGGGTTAGCTGAGTTGCTTTTAATTTTTCTCTTGCACTTATCAGCACAGATATTGATAGGATACAAAACTGTTGATTCTTTGGTGATTCAATGTTCTTGCAATTGTGCCCTGATGAGTGTAAGATGGAAAACTTTAACAGTATGCTTCTTTTTCAGCAGTACTTAACATTTGAAGTATGGAAAGGGAAGTTTACTGGAAATGTCAATATTATATCAGAATATTACGTCAGTACGAATATCATGGCATTTGGATTGAATGAGTAATATTTATCCCCAGTTGTAATACAAGGCTTAATATTGATTTTGTTTCCACAGATACATCAAATACTACTACAACTCCTCCAGTTGAGACATCTTCAATATCTGAACGATCAACAACTACAACACCAATGTCTACATCCACAACAGAACCAACAAGTTCACCAGAAGCAATAACAACAGAGAACACCACTCAGCCATTAATAAGTGAGTTCACAACAACAACAACAATTTAACTCATGCCAGAGTTTATAATTGAATTATCATTGATTATATTTTGTTACCTCATAATTACCTCTCAGCCATAAACAAGTGAGTCCACAATAAGAATTTCAACAATAATGCAACACATATCACAGATAATGGTAGAATAAAAAATGGATTATATTTTAATGCCTTATCATCACCACCTGGAGTACAACCACATAAGTATAAAGGCCATTTTGACTGGCAGATTATATTTGTCAAAAATAATATTACATCACTTAAGAAGGACATGAGTAAGATCATTTTGCACTTGAATGGTCATATTTAGTTTTGTTTACACAGCTACATTAGATAATCCTATGAATACTGTTATGACTAAAATGGGAAGAGAGCATGGTCTTCTTCTAGATCCACTACTCCACAGGTCACAACATGAATTTAATTGCTTTATTCAGTTCCCAGTATATATATGCTCCCTGAATGACTGCATCTGCAAAAGCCCCAGCCATAACTATATGTGTTCAGTGAGTTTTCCACTCTATAGCAGAACATTAGACAGACTGCCATCTGAACAAAATATGCACTCTTTGTATTAGACCTCTAATAAAATAAGCTAGGTTTCTATGATACACACAATACTAATGATTTATTATATAACAAACCTGGTTAACATACTCAGTTTTTAATGTGAAGTTATAAATGTTTAACCCATGCGATAATACACACATACATACATACATGAACAGAAAGGCATTTGCATATGCGGAAACACATATACACACACTCACATTTACACATACAAATCGAATGAAATAAAACAAAAGCTGAATTTTCTCTTACTTTGTTCAGATGGCAGTCTGTATGACATTCTGCTATGCAATGACAGAGTCACTGAACACATGCAGATATGATTGGGACTTTTACAGATGCAGTCATCCAGGGAACATTGACACACTGTTCCAGAGACTTGTCCTATGAGATCAACTGAATAAGGGTCTCCAGGTATTACATTTGACCTACAACAGAAGTGCTGTACCAGAAACAGGAGAACTAAGCTGCTAGCTTCTTTCTTTTAGTGCATCATCCCTAATTACTCTAAACAAAACCCAAAACAGAAACTGGAACCTGAAAATTATAAATTCAAGCAGAATATCACCAAACATCACATGATGTGTGAATACCAAAAAGAAAAAAAATCTTTGTTTAAAAATGCCAATATTCTTCCATTTAAATAAATCCAGGTATCCACAATCCTTCCAACTCAAGTCCACAAAAATAATTAAATATGCAGCCTTATAACACATTCATTCTTAGAAAAATTCAACACCATTTTCAAATGAATTTCATCACAATGTTTAGACTGAAATAAACATATTCTTTTAAAAATCATTATTTTTCAGCTGTAACATATACAGTTATCTCCAATATTTGATATCTGGATTATGTAAACAAAGTTTAATTCATTATAAAGCACTGTTACTTACATTATTTCTCCCTTCAATATCAACAATCTTTAAATGATAAGGTTGTAATAGCAAACTCCTTTGAAACATTTAGCATTTTAGTTATAATCTTTTTCACAAATCAGCCTTCTAATCAGTATATAGCAGTGTTTCCCAGTAGTCATGGTATATGGATGCTGTAGAACTCTGTGACAGACAGAGAGTATCACTGAGGGGAGAGGGTCAGCTGGGGACTCTGCAATAGACTGTGAGTAACACTGAGAGGATAGGGTCAGCTGGGGACTCTGTGACAGACAGTGAGTACCACTGAGAGAATAGGATCAGCTGGGGACTCTGTGACTGACAGTGAGTATCACTGAGAGGAGAAGGATGGGTGAAGATGCTTGCAGGGGAGCAGACAGACCAGTAACTGACCTGAGTGGGATTCAGGACATATGGTTTCTCTAAGCTATTTTTGAGTAGGAGTAAGAGTAAAATAAAAACAAGTGTCAATTTTTTTTTGATAAGCTATGCTTGGAGAGCTCAAGCCTTTGATTTCTATACCCTGCACTGTGTGGGAAATTGTAAATGCTCCTGGCATTCTGACTGACCATGCATGGAGGAGGTGCCTCTGGCTGGACCTGGGGTCACTACTGTGCATTCACGGGGCTGAAAGGTTCACGGATGGAATGTTGCTGAATGTGATCACCTTGCAGTTTAAGAAGTGCAGGCAAAAAGGGCAAGGCACAAAAGAAGGCAATCAAGCAGTTTGAGAGGTATTCCCCCAAGACCAGTTCACTTGCAAATCAATTTTTGATCTTGGAAAACAGTGAGAGTAGGCCACTGCACTCTGTGGTCCAGCTACTTGGGATGGGGGTGGTGTGGGGGTGGGGATGCTCAAGAAATGTGGAACAGCAGTAGTGGCTAGTGATTCATTAGTGTAGTGTAGTGTATACTACATCAGTAGTGTGTACAGGCTCTCTTATGTATGGCTGTAGACATGGTTTTGGGATAGAATATTGTCTCCTGAGAGCTGTGGTCAATGATGAAATGGAATGACTTGTTGTCTTTGCTTTGGACATTTTGACCAGTTTCTGTATTAAAACCCACTTACCCAAGTCATCAATGAGGTGGACAATGGACACAGAATTTTCCCTATTAAAAACAACACGTCAGCCTTTCCAAAATTTCCACAATATTTACTCTTTATCTAGCTCTATCCATTTAAGAAAGGATATACCAGCACCAATCCACATGTTTGAGCTGGGCTGTTGGAATCTTCTTCCTCTCCTAGATGGTACTAGCTCTCTTCCATGAAGGTAGGTCTCACAGAGGTCAGAGAGGATGTTCTCTCTGTTTCCATAAAATGCATGCCCTCAGGCAGTCAAGGTGCCAGAATGTCTGATTGACACTTTTCCAAGACACAACCCTTGGTCTAGTTGTATTTGGTTTTCCCTTGAACCTTTGTAACCTCTTTGATTTTCATTTCCACTGTTCTCTGGACACAATAGCTGCTAGCTGCTTTAATTTAGTTCAGCCTACTTTCTATCAGGCCCGATTTCACTAGCTGTGGACCAATTTAGAATGTCCAATTTTGGATCTGTGGTCAGTTGACCACAGGCTGCAGTGAATTCTGAAGGAAGAAGGTGAACAGCCAGAGACAGAGATCTGTGTTGAGACCAATGATAGGGGAAGAAAGAGAAGTAAGGTCTTGGAAATGAATTTAGGAATATAGGTAGAAAATGGAGAAGCAGGACTTCAAAGTCAGTAATCTCCGATTTACTCCTAGTGCCATGTAGTAGTGAGTAATGGAATAGAGGCCATAGCAGATGAATGTGTGGCTGGAGAAATGGTGCAAGAGGTAGACCTACTGATTCCTGAGATATTGGAACCATTCTTGGGGGAGGTAGAAACTACACAGTTTGGAGAGGTTACATTGGATCATGAATGATCGCATCCTTGTGGGGAGGTTTGCTAATGCTGTTGGGATGAATTTAAAATAGATTCTGACCAGTTGTTAAGATGGGAGAGAAACTGAGAGTCCGTGAGCCTGGAAGGCAGAGGGAAAAAAGCTAGACAAGAATGAAGTGAGTGCAGCAGGCTAAATGAAACATACTTTAATGAAATTAGCCTGAAGAATAAGATAGATGAGCTGAGGGCACAGATAGGTATGTGGGCGTATGATCTCATAGCCAAGACTGAGACTTGTTGAAAGATGGGCAGGGTTGGCAGATCAGCATTCCCGGTTATAGGATATTCAGATGAGATAGAGAAATGGATAGGGCGAGGAGAGTGTTGCAGTATTGATCAAGGAATCAATTATAGCAGTGAGGAAAACTGATATCTTGGAAGGATTGCCACCTGAGGTTATATGTGTAGAAATTAAAACATAGTAGGGACAAACAAACTATTGGGTTTGTACTTGGGGCCACAAGAAAGTCAGGGAGAGAGAAAGAATTAAATATGTAATCAAATTCAAAGAAGAACAATAAAGCTATAAAAGTGGGGGGTGATGGCCTAGTGGTATTATCACTGGACTGTTAATCTGGAGACTTGGTGATGTTCTGGGGACCCAGGTTCAAATCCCACCACAGCAGAATGTGGAATTTGAATTCAATAGATATCTGGACCTAAGAGTCTAATGATGACAATTAATCCATTGCCAATTGTTGGAAAAACTCATTTGGTTCACTAATGTCCTTTAGGGAAGGAAACTGCCATCCTTACCTGGTTTGGCCTACATGTGACTCCAGACCCACAGCAATGTGTTTGACTGTTAACTACCCTCTGGGAAATAACTACTGCCTGGCCAGCAATGCCCTCATCTTGTGAATGAATAAAAAAGTTAGACATTTTAATTGCCCTAATGGGCTATTTTAGCATGCAAGCTAATGAGGAAACAAATGTTTTAGCCAGTATGTAGAAAGCCCAACAAGAGAGGGAGCATTCTGGATCGAATATTGTGAAATGAACCCGGGCAGGTGAAAGGCGTATCAATAGGGGACCATATTGGAGTTAGTGACCATAACACAGTTCAAAGCTTTAGATAGCTATGGAAAAAGATAGGATAGACTGGGAATAAAGATTCTAAACTGGGGAAAGGATAATGTTATGAGATAAGATACAATTTGTCCCAAGTAAACTTTTTACAGATAAACTGTGGCAGCGCAATGGGAGTTATTCAAGGAGTAAATTGGAAGATTACAGGGCAAAGGTGTTCTTGAAATGACAAAGGGTGGGACCAACACTGAGAACTCTGAATGCCAAGGGACATACGTTTAAGATTAGGGAAAAAAGGAAAAGATCATGGCAGATACAAATGGCTCACAATGCCAGAGTCCTCAGTGGAGTATAAAAAGTGCAAAGGGAGAGTGTCTTGTAAGGGTAATTAGAAAGCCACGAGAGTGCGTGAGAAAAATATGGTCAGTGAAATAAAGGAATACCCAAAGGGTCTTTTTAAAAAATAATGTACAAAGAGCAAAAGAATAACTAAGGAAAACATAGAATTCATTAGGGATTATAGAGGTAATCTGTGTGTGGACCTGGAAGACCTGGACACAGCCCTTGATAAATACCTTGCACTGCCTTTACAATGGAAAAGGTCAACATGAGTATACATATCAGGGTGGATGAATGTGAAATATTAAAAGAAATTAACATATATAGAGAGAGAGAAAGAGAGAAGGTAACGTATGGGATTAGCCTCCTTAAAAGTGGATAAGTCCAAAGGCCCAGTTGAGATGTATCCCAGGTTATTGATTGTCCCTGGCAAGGGAGAATATATCAGGAATTCTAGCAGTAATTTTGAAATTCTTCTCTGACCACAGTTGAGGTACAACAGAACTTGAGAACTGTTAATATTGTCCAATTATTAACAAGAAATGTTTAAAAAAATTAAAGGATTAAAAAGAGATTGGATTGCCATTGATAATCCACATCCAGTGGAAGAACTACTATCTTAGCAGTAACTGTTCTCAAGGGAATGGCCTCTAGGAACCACGTAGCCATATCTATAATAATAAGGTCAAAAACAGAAATTGCTGGCAAAACTCAGCATCTGTGGGAAGAAAGCAAAGTTAACATTGCGAGTCTGGTGACTTCATCAGAAATTCTTATAGCAAAACATGCAGGGATCCAGAAGATCCAAACACATAGAAGTCAACATTTTTACTGCCAAGATCTGCACAGACTATTGATCTATTGTTTGGGTCACTATGCACAAAGAGAAAATTTTCAGGAACATTTACGTCTGATTACTCTGTCTCCTTGACTTAATTACTTCCCATAATTACTAGAGAAGCTATTAGCTTTACAGCAATCAAATCATTCTACAGGTGAACTAGGGACACTCCTGCAGTTACTGTCCCAGACAATAGGTAATACTCCAGGTGCATCTAATGCAAAGGTACAAGGATCTATTGTTGGCCAATACCCTTTACTAAAACCTTGGCAACAAATGCTTTCTCTGGTAAAAAATGTTATATCTTTTCCCAGCAGAAAAGTTTGAGTGGCTCCTGTATCCCTCAGTATAATGAAAGGATTCCCTTCCTTATTTGAGTGATAAGGAGTTACTTTTCATTTTGACAAGAATTCTCTAAAATTCTCAGGTATGTCACTCACTTCTTAGCTCTCGGCTTGTTGTACTCTCAGTTGGAGCTTCTTTCTTTGTTCTGACTTTGTGTACCCCAATAAGTCCGATGGATTTACTCCACAGTTTCGAGCGATTTACATAACCATGTACACGTTGTAACATAGCCTTTGGACATGTCTTCCCCTCTCAGTATTCTCTTTTCTGGCCTGAGGACGTTCCCACCTGACCCTTGTCATCCCTGGTTATTGCTTTCTTTTCACCTTCTCAACTTTTATCCTTCTCATGGGGGAAATGGAAACAGGATTTGAAATTTCTCAAAATCATCAGCCATCTCAGCTGCCTGTCTTGACAATGTGAGTTAATTGTTAACTGACTTTTAAATTCCGAGAGAATTATTTCCCAAAGAGCATTACTTCAAATCTGGTGTTTATCTTTAATCCTACATCCAATAGTCAAAATCATTTTGCTTCACTCTGTGAATTCTAAATAAATCTGCCCTGACTTCTGACAGATCTTCAAAAATTTCAACTCTAGCCTCAGGCACCACAACATACTCACCGAGAAGAGCTTTTTTTGACCACCACCTCAAAAAGCAAGGAGTAAATCTCATGAGCTCTGCCACTGAGTCTGCTTTCAAAAGAAATGTCAAGCTTTCTTTTGCCAACTTCATCTGCTTAGTCTCTTCAAAAGACTACCAGTAAATCATGACGCAATCTTGACATATATGTCAAAACCATTGTCTTTGCCAATGTACTATATCGCCAAATCATGTCAACTGGATCATTCTTTGAAGCCTTGAATAGTTTCTTTTTGTCAATTCTCATTATAACTAAACTGGTTTGGTGAATAACTAATTCAGAGTTCAGACAGATGCACAGACAAAGTGTATAAATGATTTTAGGCTAAGTCTTAATAAACCAAATAGTTTTGGTGTATAATAGATGCATTATATTTCAAAAACACAAGAGTCATATGAGTGACCAAAGACTAAATTTAAGAGGAACTGCGCATTACTAATGCGGAAGTGTTCTGGGAAAAACGCTGAGGATACTGAACACATAATCAGAACCTCCTCAGAACAGTTCAAACAAACTTGCTAGATCAACAGTATTTTTGCTGGTAGATAATGTTTTCATGTATCAACGGTCATACTTAATATATATCTCTCAGATTTGAACATCATGTCATTACAGGGGGCAGATAAGTTTCAGTTCATGTTCTAATTCAAGATTAAGTTTTGATTTTTATTGCACAGCTACATCAAGTACTCCTACTTAATCATCTTTAACATCTGTACAATCAACAACTAAAATACCAATTTTTACATCCACAACTGCACCACCAAGTACATTAGAATCCATAACAAAGTAATTTGTGCAAAAGTTGGCTACATAAAGAGGTAGTACACATTAATGCAGCACATGAAGTAAGCTGGAAAAAATACACAGTGAACTGAAATGGTGGTTAGCACCTCCTAGAAACAGAAACAAATAACCTGTCAGATGGACACAGTATGGAGCTGGAGGAGCACAGCAGGCCAGGCAGCATCAGAGGAGCAGGAAAGTTCATGTTTCTGGCCAGGACCCTTCTTCAGACCCTGCGAGATGAATACTTTTTTTAATGAAACCTTTGACTTTATAACTGTCTGAATGTAGCAGCTATGAATGCAAACTCTTTCACAGACTGACTGTAATACATAATAAAATCTGCTCAGAATTTAAACTGATGACAGTATAACGTAATAGATGAATTTTATCTTCAAAGCAGGACAATAATTTGTGCAAAGGTGGTCTACATTTAAGAGTTAGTGCACATTAATGCAGCACATGGAGTGAGGTGAAAAAAATACACAGTGAACTGAACGGTGGTTAGCGCATCCGATGAACAGAATCAAATAACCTGTGAGATGGACACTATACTTGTTTTAGTGAAACATTTGCCATACTAACTGTCTGAACGTATCAGCTACAAATGCACTAACTCTTTCATGGACTGACTGTAATACATAATAAAATCTGCTCAGAATTTAAACTGATGACATTACATCGGGCAGTAAATATCCATGTTGAAATTCAAGACTAATTTTTGATTTTTATTGCACAGCTACATCAAGTGTTTCTACAACTAATCCTATGGAATCATCTTCAACATCTGTACAATCAACAAGTACAACACCAATCGCTACATCCACAACTGTATCAACAACTTCATCAGAACCAACAAGTACGGAGACGTCCACTCAGCCAACAACAAGTGAGTCCACACCAAACTGCACAACAGTTTTCATTTCTGTAACAACAGGAACTTATAAGGATTGGACTTTTCTCTAATTAAAAACTGAAAGAACTGTGGATGCTGTAAATCAGGAACAAAAACAAAGTTGCTGGTAAAGCTCAACAGGTCTGACAGCATCTGTGAAGGAAAAAGCAGAGTTAACGTTTCAGTTCCGGTGAAGCTTCCTCAGAAGAACTTTTCTCTGTTGCAGCTGTTCTGATGCTTTGGGAAATATTTCCAATTCTAAAAATATAATCATTGTAATTTAGCTTAATATGATTTGTTGCTTCAGATTCACAGCTGAGAAAACAACAGTGACCAAACTCATTTCTTAAAAGAGATTTTATTATAATTCATGATATATTCCTGAAGTATGTGTCAAAACTCTTATCATACTCAGGTCGCACAATAGCGTAGTCACATTAACTGTTCCGAATCTTAATGCCTTGAATAGATTCGATGTCATCAATCTATATTTTGGCTGTGTTGGTTTTGCAAATTTGTTATTTAGAGTCGAAATCAATGGCATGTGATATGTTTGATCAAATTTACGCTCAATTCCAATCAAAGGAGTAGTTGTTTGGCATAATAAATGCATTTTATCTTAAATGCAAGACAGTAAATTCTGAGAAGTTGGGTTAAATGTAAGAGTTAGTGAACATTAATGCAGCATATCAATTTAGGTGGAAAAAATACACAGTGAGCTGAAATGGTTGTCATCACCTCATAGGATAAGAACCAAATAAACTGCAAGATGGATATAATATTTTTAGTGAATCCTTTGACATACTCACTGTCTGAATGTAGCAGCTACAAATGCACCAACTCTTTCACAGACAGAGTGTAATACATAACAAAATCCGCTCAGAATTTCAACAGATGACATTGCATGGATCAGGTAAAATTCTGTTCATGCTGTGATTCAAGACTAATTTTTGATTTTAATTTCACAGCTACATCAAATGTTTCTCCAACTATTTCTACAGAATCAACTTCAACATCTGTTGAATCAACAACTACAACACCAACCTTTACATCCACAACTGCACCAACAATTACATCAGAACCAACAACTACGGAGACATCTACTCAGCCAACAACAAGTGAGTTATCCCTAAGTTGAACAACTCATTACTGTTCTGTAACAACAGGATCTAAAGAGAATCCAACTTTTCTTGTGTAGCACCCATTGTCTTCTGATGTTTTGGAAAGTATTTCCAATCTCACAAACATTATATTTGCAATTAAACTTAGTATGACTTGTTGCTACAGAAGCACAGTGGAAAAAGTAGGTGACCAAATTGATTTCTGAAAAGACGGGTTCTTATAAGTTAGGACATACTCTTGAAATATGTGTTGAAACCCTAATTTTGATCAGAAGACAAAAAGTTTCAGTCACATCAACTGATCCTGTCTTTATTGCCCTCAATACATTTAATGTCATCAATACATGTTCTGGCCAAGTTGGTTTTGAGAATCTGTCATTCAAAGTGGACACCGACGACCATGCAACATGTGTCATCAAAGTTACGCTCAATCCTAACGAAAAGAGAACCAGTACAATGTAATAAATGCATTTGATCTGAAATACAGGATAGTAATTTCTGAGAAGGTGTGCTACTTTTAAGATTTAATGAACCATTAAGGCAGCAGATGAAGTAAGGTGGAAAAAAATACACTGTGAACTGAAACGGTAGTCAGCACATCCTACGAACAAAACCAAATTCCCTGCGAGATGGGCATTGTATTTTTGTTTTACTGAAACATTTGACATACTAACTGTGTGAAAGTAGCAGATACGAATGCACTAACTCTTTCACAGAGTGACTGTAATACATAATATATTCTGCTCAGAATTTAACCTGATGAAAATGCATGGGGCAGTTAAGATTCAGTTCATGCTATAATTCAAGACTCATTTTTGATTTAATTTCACAGCTAATTCAGGTGCTTCTCTGACTACTCATATGGAATCATCTTCAACACCTGTGCAATGGACAATGACAATACCAATCTCAATATCTACAACTGCAACAACAATTACATCAGAACCAACAAGTACAGAGACTTCCACTCAGACAGCAAGTGAGTTCATATCGAACTGAACAACTGTTTTTAGTTCTGTAGCAACCAGAAGTTATAAGGATTGGAATTTTCTCTGTTGCAC